AAAATATATGGTACCTTTTAAATTTTCAAAGCTTTTAGAAAATTCTCTAGGAGCCTAAAACATTTAATAACATTATTTACAGCAGTAATTTCTAGCCTTTTTAGAGTTAACACTATCTATTTTATAACATTTATATCTCCCCTTGCAAATTAATTCAAAAAAGCATTGATTATTTTATGCCCGTCACCATGTTAGATGCAAAAGATGCAGAGGTAAAATACATAATCTTTACCTGTAAAGAGATAGAGATTTTTAAATATACACAGTTTAGTAGGACAAATAACCATGGTAGAGGTAAGCAAAAGGAATAGGGTAAAACATAGGGTAAAATGCTACCTGAGATACAGCTGTATTTCTAGGTAAGCATGCATACATTTGTATGTGTGCATGTGTGTATGTGTGTGTCTGTGTCTGAGTGTTTGTTTCACTTTTTATAGGATTGAAATTAAATTTTCACAGGACACGTTTCCTAAACCTTCTTGAAGAAATTAGAACTATCCTGGGGTAACAATACCAGATCAGGACTGGTTGGTGAGCAGTATTCTCCCTTCAGACTTTCTCAGGCATTGTTTACATCAGTTGACACTTTGAATGAAAAGATGTGAGGAAACTGACACCTTTACCAAATAAAAGTGAGATCTTCCACAGTTTGCACAGAAGGAAAAAGCAACAGGACCGTAGTAGAATCTGTAATTAAGAAGTGAAGCCTGTATAGAGATCCCAAAGAATTTTCTGAGTTTTTATCTACCTTTTAATTGAGTGTTGTTATCTCATTTTGATCTCCACTATCACAACAAGCCTATTTGCTTTCTCTCTCTTCCTCCTCCCTTTGTCCTTGGTGACTTTTTTCTTCTCAATCTTTGGAGATAATATGATTTCAGAGGAGAGAATATTGATGTCTTAAAGATACCAAAATTAAGATGAAGCAAGTAAATTATAGTTATATAAACCGTATTTGTATAATGTTTTATAAAGAACAGTTATATTTAATCTTTCCAGCATCCTTGTGATACAGCAGCATTAACTACATTTAACACATGGAGTGTTAAAGATCAGAGTGTTTAAATTACTTACGGAAAGTCACATAGCAGACTAATAGTATAGTATCCATTCTAACCTTTGTTAAATAAGACTTCTTAATGATAACACTCATTTAACCAATATTTATTGAGACATAGACTAATGGAATAGAATAAAGAGTCTCAAAATAAACCTACACATATATAGTCAACTGGTTTATGATACAGGTAACACTGAAGTGCAGTGGGGGAAAAGTGGGCTTTTTAATAAGTTGCCCTGGATCAATTGAAAGGCTGTATGGAAGAAAAACGAATTTATTTTATTTTATTTTTAATGTTTATTTTTGAGAGAGACAGAGCATGAGTGGGGGAGGGGCAGAGAGAGAGGGAGACAGAATCTGAAGCAGGCTCCAGACTCTGCGCTGTCAGCACAGAGCCTAATGCGGGGCTTGAACTCACAGACTGTGAGATTATGACATGAGCTGAAGTCGGACGCTTAACCGACTGTGCCACCCAGGCATCCGGAAAAACAAATTTAAGTCCCTACCTTATACCATACATAGAACATTAATTTGAGATGGATAAGGACCTTAATATTAAAAAAGGTAAAATAATAAAGCTTTTAGAAGAAAACAGATTATATTCATGACTTTATCCTAAACAAGTCAAACATTTCTTAAGTAGCAAAGATTTCTAAAATAGGACAAAATAAAAACCAAATCTTAAAGCAAAAGTTGACAAATTGGTCTTCATTAAAATGAACTCATCAAGAGAAGAAAGTAAAAAAAGCAGGCCACCAAATGGGAGAAGATATTTGCAACACATCTATAAATAAAGGATTGTATCCCAAATACATTAAAATCCATACAAATCCATACAAATAAAGTCAGTCAACCCAGTAGGAAAATAGTCAAAAGGCTTGAACAGGCACTTCACAAAAGAGCTATCCAAATGACCAGTAGTTACATGAAAACTCCTTAGTTATCAGGGCAATGCCTAATAAAACTATGAGACCACTGCACACCCACAAGAATGACTGAATTTTAAAAGACTGACAATACCAAGTGTTGACACAACTGTAGAACAACTAGTGAGAGTATAAATTGGTATAAACACTTTGAAACACTATTTGGCAGTATATTCTGAAGTTTGACATATGTATATGACCTGTGATGCAGCAAATGAAATGTAAGAAAGTACATTCACAGCAGTACTCTTCAATGTAGTCCCAAACTGGAAACAATCCAAGTGCCCATCAAGAGTAAGATGGATAAGTAAATTGTGATATATTCATTGTATTTAGCAGTGCTTTCTTAACCAAATTGGTGAAGGATCAGATTTTTTGCCCTTGCTTTCAGAATGAAATTCTCAAATATTACTGCTCTCAAGTGATGAAAATGAACACACTGCACCTAAATACACATGACAACCTGAAAGAATCTCACAACCATACACAAAGGGTCTATATTTTATGATATCATTTAAGTAAAATTCAGTGAAAACAAAAAATCACTAACCTGCAATGTTAGACATTCAGATTACCCTTGAGGATCAGGAGATTGTCATTTGAAGAGGCCAATTCTGGAGTTCTTAATCTTAGTGTTGGATCATTTTTGTGCTGGTTATATGGATGTGCTCATTTTATGAAAATTTATCTGGCTGCCCACTTAGGACTGGGACTTTTTTTTGTTTTACTTACCATTTACATTAAAAATTATTGAACATCTACTAAACACATGCACTCTAAACTTGTAAAGGTAATAGAGTACTGGAGAAAACAATGGATAGTGCCAGTATGTAAAAAAATGTGGCATTACAAATTAATGATTTTATGAAAGGAATCATAACAAGATACAGCGATAGAAAATAATGAAAGAAGAAACCTACTTAGATATGGTCTAAGTAGGTCTTTTCTAATGAAATGGTCTTTCTAATGGTCTTTTCTAATGAAATATTTTAGCTGAGACCTGGAATATGAAAAGGAATCAGTGATGCTGAGATTGGAAACAACAATCCAGGGATTTGACAGTTGTTTTGAGTAGAGAAAGGGAATTTAGTGGATTTATAGTAAAAGAGGACATTGAGGATATAGGTACAACTTGGGAATTGGCGTTATAAAAGTTGGGACAGGAGGAAATGGGATGGTTTACAGTTGCAAATAGAAAGACCACAATGGATAGTTTTGCAAGAGGCTTGTCAACATCAGCATGAGAAGAAATGATTGTGATATCTAGAGTAAAGGAAAATCTTGTTTGAAAGGAAGTGCATTCCTAGTTAATTTTCAAAACCGAGGAAAATATGATCTTATTAAGAATTAAGAAATGGAAGAATTTTACATGTGTTTCCTGTGCTTCATGTAATTTGGGGTAAGCAAAAGTGTATTCACATATTAGAGAATTTTGATCCAGGCATTTGAAAATGGACAGTGAATGGGACAGCGTTCGTTTCAACCCTACCAGTCCTGGTGTCTCTGACATTCTACCGACCCCCCTCCCCTTTTCTCTATTCCTTCCCCAACACATGATTATTTTAGTATCACTCATTTCAGCTCTATCAGTCTTACTTACCTTTTGTTTCCTTCTTCCCTCATCCTTTCCACTCACCTTCAAATGTTTCATTCCAAGTACTAAGCACTTCCATGTGTATCATCCTCTTTAATCCTTTTATAACCCTACCAGTCTCATATTTGTGGAGATATGTGTGGGGAAACTTTGGCTCAGAGAATCTGTATGACTTGTCTAAGGTCACAGCCTAGACTCCAGACTCCAAGTGAAGTGCTTTTTTACCATTATGCTACTGAGGCCTTCATCTCTTCCAAATGAACATATGATGGTGTTTGGCTTAAAATACTGTCATCTGCATTATGAGTAATGCAGTTGTGCTCTATTGTTTGTTAGATCTTATAGGAGACATCATCTCAGAGGGCTGAGTTATATATATGAATATATGTATAATATTTAAGTATATTTCACTTTATATAGACTTGAGATTATATGTAAAACTGAAGTTTTTAGATTTAAAACATTTTTAATAAAGTTTTTAAATTTTTAAATAGTTTTTGAAGTAATCGGAGACTTCCTGAAGTATAGCATATGCAGGATCTCTATTATAATTATCATTTATTTTACATGTCTTCTTAGTTACTAAAAATCTGGAAGCAGAGAGATATGACCTTGATGCAGGTAATTAAAGAAATTATAATGGCCCCAAATCTCAAGAAGAGGCCCAAAATCTCTAAAAGAAGAGGAGGTAAACTAAGGGATTATTCAAAACTTAGCTTATTTCCTACTGCTTGCCTTCTTCCCTCTGACTCTCTCTGTGTCTTTAATAACAATGAGTAAACATTGGAAAAATAGGAGATTAAACTCAGATCACTTGTTTTTCATCACTTGCTGGTAATTCTGGGGGAACTAGCAAGATTTGGGGGAGCTAGGAGATTAAGAAGACTCATTAATGAAGTTGACAGATTTTACCTTTTAATTTATTGCTTTTGAAATAAGAAATTAGGCAGTTAAGTATGTACAGCCCACTGTTAAAATATCTGATAGCATTACATCTGTTTTAACTTTTATAACCACTAGTAAACTCTAACAGTATACTATCAAAAGAATCTATAGACTTTCTGAAAATGGAAAAGATCCTCAGGTGAATTGAGTCTTAAGGTAAAAGAGAGTAGGAAATGCATGGCTGTTGATCTTGTCTCTCTTTGCCTGACATGCCATAAAGGGAGTGGCTAGGTCAGCATCTTCTGGTTTTCAGCCACTTCTGGAGGTGGCTGTTCATATAAGACAGTAACTATTAACTTAGTATTGAGAATTTTGTCTACAGTGTCCTGACTTCTATTATTTATGATATAAGAATGACTGTTTAGGGGGACAAATGGTCCATAAGATGGCTCCCAGGGATGCAGGAATACACCAGACTCCTTCACTAAAGCATTCAATCCCCAATTTTTCCTCTTGTCTTTTTTATTTGCTGTAGAGTGATTCTCATCAGTTCCGTGTCATGGCAGCTGTCCTTCGCCATTGTTTACTAATCGTAGGTCCAACTGAAGACAAAACAGAAGAGCTGCACAGGTAGGTAACTTCTGTGTTGATATCTCAGTAAAAGACATCATCAATTCTCGATGTTTTTATGCTTCTAATTTTAGTTGTTATGAGCACAGGAAAGTGAAAATATTCTAGTGAATCAAGTAACCGGTAAGTCAGAAATCACTACCATGCCCTGATGACAAATTTTCATTCTGTCCCCTTTGGAGACAGTTTGGCATTTGTTGCATTCAACAATAAAACCCAAAACAACAGTAATAATAGCACAGTTCAATAGTTATTGAATAATGGGGCGCCTGTGTGGCTCAGTCGGTTAAGTGCCCGTCTCAGCTCAGCTCATGATCTCACGGTTCATGAGTTCAAGCCCCATGTCGGGCTCTGTGCTGACAGCTTGGAGCCTGGAGCCTGCTTCAGATTCTGTGTCTCCCTCCTACCTCTGCCCCTTCCTTGTTCACGCTCTGTCTCTCTCTCTCTCTCTCTCTATCTCTCTCTCTCTCTCTCTCAAAAAAAAACAAACATTAAAAAAAATTTTTTTAAGTTATTGAATACTATATGTGACATTATGCTAAGTGCTTTATAAAGATTAACTTCTTTTAATCAGCACACCAGCCTTATCAAGTGGGTACTATTTTTCCCTTTCAATTGATGATGAAATTGGGGCATAGAAAGATTAAGCAATTTCTCTGCGATCACACAGCTCTATTAAGTGACAGAGCTTGTATTTGAACCCTGCTTTTAATTACTACACTCAAACTAATGTTTCCACTAATTTCATTGTAAGAGTATTTACCAAAAAGTGTATCTTAAGCAATATGGATTAATTAAATTTTAAAAACCTATTATAAGAATTGGGTCATAGTCTCAAGTATTAATATATAAAAAATAGTTCAAGTTTTGTGTCTTGCCTGTTGGAGCTATTAATGGACAGCTACTAAAATGTATCATTCTCTGAGAACTGAGTTAATACATTTTTCTCCTTCTTTTACTTTCTATTCTAGATCAGATTTGTATTAACAACACTTACAATTTTAACATAAGACTGCTTAGGGTGCTTTATTCTTTAAGAATATAAATGGCATTTTAAACAACTCCAATAAATTCAAATCTGCAAACAAATAACTTTGGCGTTAACTCTCTTTTACAAATAAACTTAAAATTGGGTTCTTCATAGCTTTTGAGCATTTACAGTATTCTTTTTCCAAAATATGGCTTAAGTAAAACTTAATAGAAACACAACCAGAGTGTAAAAATGAAACGTAACTTTGTTATTTTTTAATCAAATTCATATTATTTTAGTTATGATCAGCAATTTATTATTTGATATTATGCTGAGTTTATTGGTAGGTTATCTTTATGTACCCCACCCTGCAAACCTCAAAAGATTATTTTCTTCACAGTTAAAAAGTGTGATTTTTTTCCTTCAGCTAGAGATCAAAAGTTCCTTTAATTTTTTTGAGTCAGTGCCTTTAAAAAATAATCAGATTAGGGCACCTGGGTGGCTCAGTCGGTTGAGCGTCCAACTTCGGCTTAGGTCATGATCTCACGGTTTGTGGGTTCAAGTCCCGCGTCAGGCTGTGTGCTGACAGCTCAGAGCCTGGAGCCTGCTTTGGATTCTGTGTCTCCCTCTCTTTCTGTCCCTCCCCCACTCACACTCTGTCTCTCTCTCTCTCTCTCTCTCTCTCTCTCTCAAAAATAAAATAAAAACATTAAAAAAATAATGAGATTAAGTGCAAAAATCATAACCACTAAAAAGATTTTATTAAGCGTTTTTGACTTACTATAATTTTTTTCATAATCAAGAGACACTGTAGATACTAAAACTTAAAAAAAATGGATTTATAGAAAGCCCAGGAGTAAATTGGTGGCTTTTTTTTTTTTGAAATCACATATTATAAGTTACATGGTATTCATACAAGAATGTGAAGAGAGAGGTGCCTGGGTGGCACAGTCAGTTTAGTGGCTGACTCTGATTTCAGCTGAGGTCATGATCTCACATTTCATAAGAATGAGCCCTGCGTAGGGCTCTGTGGTGACAGCAAGGGGCCTGCTTAGGATTCTCTCTCTCCCTCTCTCTCTCTGCCCCTTCCTCTCTGTCTCACTCTCAAAATAAATAAACTTAAAGGGAAAAGAATGTGAGGAGAAAGTGGGGAATTGTTACACTAGTTACAAAAACATTGCCAAAGATTTCTCTGATAAATTTAATATATTTTTTAAAATGTTTATTTATTTGTTTTTAGATGTGAGAGCACACATGTGCGTAAGTGGGGGAGGGGCAGAGAAAGAGGAGGAGAGAGAGAATCCCAAGCAGGCTCCATGCTGGCGACACAGAGACTAACTCAGGGCTCCATCCCATGACCATGTGATCAAGAGTTGGACGTTTAACTGACTGAGCCACCCAACTGCCCCTGATAAATTTAATATTTTAACACAGCACCCAGTATTTGTCAAAAGAGAGCAAGAAGAGAAGTTTTAAAAATCAGATTTTTTAAAAAGTAATTAGATTTCTTTATTTTCCTAATGATATTATTTGCTTTAAATATTTATTCTTAAATAAATTTTAAAGATACTTTTCTTTAAATTTGATTTTATCTTAAAAGTTGCTTTGATAAATTTCTATTAGGTACACTGTAAATAAGAAGGGATATCCCTAGAGCCACAAACAGGATATAGGAGTTTCTCAGAGGCTTTCCCAGGAGGTTGAGGTTGTGGCTGACTTGACAGTTTATCTGGAAAGGCCCTGCATGTCCCTTTAATCAGAATTAAAGTGATTAGTATCATTGGAGAATAATGACTCTAGGCTAAGCCATTTAAATACAGAGAAAATTGCTTTAACCTCAAAGAGCTATTTTAGGAAACTGACTAGAATTGTAATACCTACTAAATTCTGCTTATTTGTAGTGGCCATGAAAATCGTGTGTGTGTTTAAGGCAAAGTTAAAACAAAAAAATCAGAATGTTTTTCAAAGTAATTTTGTTTCAGTTTTTAAGTTATTTTCTAAGTTTGTTTTTTTCTTTTTCTTTTTGACACTTCGATTTAAGGACAAATATGATGAAATAGGTAAACCTGAATAGTATGTGATTATGCATTATCATCAAACTCAAAGAGTTGTAGTAATGATTCAATAAGAAATTAATAAAGAGCTATTGTCCCTGACACTGAGGAAGCACTTGGCAGGTGGGAAGGCTGCCACTGCCACTTCTGTAACTATTATTGTAATAAGCATACTGGCTTTTAGAACCAATATTTAGTTCCAGATCTCTTCCAACTTTTAAAAATTGGTTTTTGATTTTGATATTTTGTTTAGGAACTTATTTCTGTGTATATCCTGTGATCATGTAGAGAAATCTATTTTCCAATCATCTAAGCTTTTCTGTCTATCATACATACGTGTCATGAGCCTACTAGGCTCCTCCAGGAAACGAGTGAGTAAAAAAATACCTTGGCAACAGCTTTTTCTGATGTGCTGTCTCTGTAAGACAGTGCCCTTTTTTTCCCCACCCCCAGAGCAATGAAGAGGACAGGGACATTGAGATAAAATGAGTTAGCTCACACGGACAGCTGACCTTAACCTTTATTTCCACTAATCAGCGTGTGAGATAGCATTAAAAATCTATTTATTCTATTTCATTTCCTCTTGTCTATACTTAAAGTAACAAGTAAATTGTTGGTTCCAGCCATCTTTTTTGCTACTTTAAAGAACACATCCTAATTCTGTTCTTCTCTGCTATCTTCCTGAACGTATTTTCAGCCCTCTTGTCCATAATCAGCAAGCTTATACATAAACAGCCAAAAACAGTTGCATGTGGATGTGGTTGTGGTTTCATTTTATTTTAGAAGGGGGAAGATGGGGCTGGCCTAAATGCTGGATAGTTGAGGAGAGGGGAGGGAAGGACCAGATCTGATTTAATTTCTTTTAACCTCTCCGTCTAATTTCTTTCAGTTAGCACGCTGGCATCTACAAAATGCTTTCTCTCTCTCTCTTTTTTTTTGAACCCAAAGAGCTGGTGTGTTTTTTTTTTTTTCAATTTATTATGTTATTTTATTGGTGTGAAATATACTACCAGTTCTACTTGTACATTTCAAACAAGCAATTAAACTTTGATCTGTTATTTGTTTTGTTTTGTTTTTTTTATAAATATGAAATTTATTGTCAAATTGGTTTCCATACAACACCCAGTGCTCATCCCAAAAGGTGCCCTCCTCAATACCCATCACCGACCCACCCCTCCCTCCCACCCCCCATCAACCCTCAGTTTGTTATCAGTTTTTAAGAGTCTCTTATGCTTTGGCTCCTTCCCTCTCTAATCTCTTTTTTTTTTTCTTCCCCTCCCCCATGAACTTCTGTTAAGTTTCTCCGGATCCACATAAGAGTGAAAACATATGGTATCTGTCTTTCTCTGTATGGCTTATTTCACTTAGCATAACACTCTCCAGTTCCATCCACGTTGCTACAAAAGGCCATATTTCATTCTTTCTCATTGCCATGTAGTATTCCATGGTGTGTCTTTTAAAAGTAGTGATTACCTCCCTGCCTTTTTTGTTTCTTTGTTTATTTTAAAGTTTATTTATTTATTATGAGAGAGAATGAGCATGAGTGAGGGAGGGGCGGAGAGAGGGAGAGGGAGAATCTCAAGCAGGCTGTACACTGTCAGCACAGAGCCCAACGTGGGACTTGATCTCATGAACAATGAGATGATGACCTGAGTTGAAATCAAGTCAGACGCTTAACTGACTGAACCACCCAGGTGCCCCATGTTGTTGTTTCTTTGTTTAGACCAATTTATTTTATCTCACATATTGAAGTACCTAATGATATCTTATTACAATGCTAAGCATATGCCTTTTTTTCCAGCTTTATTGAGCTATAATTGACATATAACATTGTTGAAGGTGCACAGTGGTGTTGCTTTGATACACTTACATTACAAAACGATTACCACCACAGCATTAGCTAGGCATAATGCCTTACCCGTGGCTGACTTTCAATAAATGTTTGAAAACTGAGGGGAGAGAAGATGGGGGAATGG